CTCCACCGACGGCGTGCATCTGGCAGGACCACACGCCGCGAGGAAATCCGCACGCGCGATCGGCCCAGGGCCTTGTCCTTCAGCTTGTCCCTCTCCTGCCAGCATGACCAGCCACGCCCCATCGAGCAGCGGCGCGCCCTCCGGGGGGCTCGCGCCGACCGCCGAGCCGGTGCAGGACCCCGCCGTTTCCGGGGACAGCGCGACTGCCGGCGCGACCGCCTCCACCTCGGCCACCTCGTCGCCCATCATCAGCAGCATCGACTCGTACCGGCGCGAGTGGACCCTGCCGACGAAGCTGACCCCAGCGCAGAAAGAGCGCTTCCTGCGGGACACAATTGCCTTTTGCCTGGCAAACCAGGTCCCCTGGAAGCCGAGCGCGCAGAACCACTTCCGCGCCGGCTCGCCGGCCGAATACTATGCCGAGCTGCTGTTCCGCTCGCGTAAGAACCTGATGGTACACGCAAATGCGCGCTCGTGGGCCGTGCCCTCTGCGGCTCGGCGTCTCTCCGGCCTCGCTGGCGTGCCTTCCCCCCCCCCCCCCCCAGCGCGCTCTCCCCGCGTTCCCGATTCCCCGTTCGCTCCCCCTGACGCGTCTCCATCCCCCAGCTCTATCCCCATCATCTGTCGCATGAGCTGGCCACCTTCGTCGAGCGCAGCGCCCCCTTCGCATACTACACGCACATGCTGATCGACCTGCTGGTTGAGGGCCGCGGCTATGACTCGCTGCCCAACTTCACGGCGACCGACTGTGCGTCCTCGTATTGCGATCTCCTGCATGCACACACGCTGCGCCCGCATGGCTTGCTCACTGACGCCCGGGTGGCCCGCTTGCCCGGCATCTGGCGCCAGGCTACCACTTCCTCGGCATCGGGCGCAATGAGTTCATCGACATCGCCAACCGCGGACGAAACATCCTGGAGACCGGGACCCTTGGCGAGCTCGCCTCCCCGGACGAGGCAGATGACCCTGCCACGGGGCCGCACCAGCCCGCGAGCCCAGGCGAGCAAGGCGCCTCCGCCCATGATGCCGACTCTTGGGTGCAGATGGACGCCGGCTCGGATTCGGAGTCGCTGCCCTCGCGCCTGGGCCACTGGCTACGGGGGATCCCCCAAACCACCGGGGCCCTTCTCGATCGGCTGAAGGGGTTCTCCCTGTCCTCGAAGTCGGACACACACCAGCGCGAGCAGCTCTACCTGAGGCTCATGCCGACCACCCTGTCCGCCGGGTTTTCCATCCAGCCCTGGTGGCGCGCGCGCCCCTGCTTCCCGGTGGGTGTGCTGGACCTCTCGACCCCGGACCAGCGCCGCGACTATCGGGTTCGAGCGTTTCTCAACCAGGCGGTATGTGCTTCCATCAGCCCCCCTCGCCATCCGGCTGTCTGCTTCCCCTCCCGCCGCTCCATTGCCCTTGGATCAGCTCCTCCATGGGCCCTTCTCCGGCCTATGCGGCCAATTCGCAACTGACCGAGCCGCCTGGCGGCCATCGCAGAGCGCCTTTCCCCAAGCACAGGACCTCCTCCGGGAGCTGCTCCTCCACGAGGTGCAGATGCACCTACAGTACCGGTACTTCCTCGGGGAGAAGGGCCCGCAAAGCCCTCTGGCCGCCGAAAGCAATCTCCTCTACCGTACCGGCGTGACGGACCCCTTCACCTACGATGTGGCCGAGCTCGTGGGGTTCGGCAACTCCGGCATCATTTTCCCCCTGCATGCGGCCTGCCTGCCGGGGGAGCAACTTCGCTTCCTGCTCGAGCGCGGCCTTGTCTATCTGGATGTGCCGATCACGGACAATGACAAGATCTCCGGTATGTGCCCTGGAAAGGGATATCCCCCCCCCCCTCCCCCCCTCCTCCCCTCTCCCACCCGCTCCACTTGCCATTGCCCCACCGACCATCGGGCGCATCCTCCGATGCCGGTGTGTTGCCGGCGCCACCATCCTGCACCATTCTCATGCCCACTCCCCTTCGCCCGGGTCCAGTGCTTCTCCTGCGGAACTTCATCATGAACCGCCGGGTCCAGAGCGATGCCATCGAGAACCTCCTGTACCAGATTTTCATCTCCATCGACGATGCCACGTCGGTCTTTGACCTGAGTGACGTTCTGCAGATCCGAGCTGAATTGATCCGAGTGCGCCCTTTCCCCTCGCCATGCTCCCCCTTGCGGCTTTCCGCCTCCCCTCCTCCGCTGACGGGCGGCTTTCCCTTGACCGTGCACCCGGTCGCCCTCTCCCCCGCCCCTGGCCGAAGAATGCCGTATCCGTCTACTGTCGCCTGGGCCTGGCCGAGAAAATCGACCCTCGGGACAGCCTGTACACGCAGTTCCGCCATGCGGCGGTGTCCGTGCCGAAGTCCATCTCGGCTCTCTTCCAGCCGGCGGCCCCATCCCCCCCGGGGGGCCTGGCCGGGCGCACCTTCGGCTCGGCTTTGCTGCAGGACTTCTCCCAACTGCTCCCAGCGCGCTTCAGTACTGCCCTCCGGCCGGACACCAGTCTGCTGCTGGCCCAGCCGGACAGCTTCGACTCGGATCTGGAGGAGGACGACACGGGCATCGGCAGTGCGAGGGCCACCTCGCCGCTTGACAGCCTGAGCGCCACCTCGCCACGGCCAATCACCACTGCCCGGCCCACGGCCGGCGATTCCCTCGTGCCGGCCGACTCGCTGCCTCTCTTCCATCCGGGGGACTTCGCCGGCATGCTGCAGAGCGGGGACTTCCCCCGCGCCGGGTCACTGCCCTCGGCCGCCGGTCAGATTGATTTCCCGCCGGAGGTCCTTTCGCCGGTCCTGCCAACGCCCACCCTTCCCTCGGCCACCATGCGGCCGCACTCCTTCTTTCCGCTGGTCCTTGACGCCGGTGCGCACGAAAGCTCTGCCCCCTTTCGCGCGTCCTCCTCGCATCCCCCCTGTCTTTTTTTTTCCGGCCGGCACGCTCGCACCTACCCCCCGCCCCCCCCCCACACACACACACACATCTGACTTACCAGGAGGGCTCCCCTGCAGCCCTCAGTGCCGCCATCACCAGCCCCGCGCCGGGGCACTCACCCCGGCGGCGGCCACGCTTTGGTCTTTTGATTGACGCCAGTGTCACGGCCATCCTGATGATGGGCGACCCGTCTGGCGCGAGCCGGTCTTCGGCCTTCAGCCCGCATACTAATCTCAAGTCCCACGCAGTGACCCTGTACGAGCGCGGCAAGATTGCCAATGTGGCCTGCGATGACTTCCTCAACTCCCTGGCCTCCACTCTCCTGGGCGAGGCTTGGGATGCGGAGGCGGCCGAACCGGCGGCCACCCCTCCGGGGCCCGACTACACGGCCCCCTACCTGTCATCGGACCTGGTCCCCGGAACGCGGACCTACTATGACCATGTACTTGGCCTCTACAAGACTCTCTTCCTCCTGCGCCATGGCTGGTGCCTGGCCCTGGACCCGGGTCTTCGTCAGCCGGCATCTGTCGGTGCGTGCACGGCCCACCTCCCTTCCTCTCGTTCTTCCCCTCAGCGAAGCGGATCACAACTGTGCCTTCCCCTACTTTTGTTATACTCACACACACACACACACACACACACACATGCATCGGTGAACTCCCCCCAACTCAAAGACATCATTCGCATCGAAAGCCTCGCCAGTTTGGACCCCACGTCTCGGCGACGCGTCTTGGCGCGGAATTACGATGTCCTGGTGTCGACGGCCCCCTCGCCCGCCTCGCTCTTCCGGGTCTTCCCCCTGGCCGAAGACCAATACCATCTCCAGGGGCTCGAGGAGTTCGATCACATCTCCGGCGGTGGATCCGGCTGGTCGCTCGGCTGCGGGGCCTTCGTTCCCTATATTGGGCCTCCGCAGTTGCCGGCTCGGCTGCGTGTCGGTGTCGAGCCCGGCGACTCGCTGCTAGATCCGCAGAGCTCGGTCCTCGGGCCCGATGGCACGGCCGCACGCGGCTCCGGTGCCGGCCAGGAGCCCGCCGCCCGGGCGGCCCTCGGCCCCGGCCCCAGCGGGACCGCCTCCACCGCCGGGACTGGCGTCGAGTACAACACCGCAGGGTCGGCTACATGCTGGCTGTCACTCTTCATGTATCGATCGGCCGGATGCGGCCCCGCCTCGGTGGCTCTCCGCACTGGGACTCGTCTTCGGCGGCTGCCAGCCACTCTGTTGGTGTGTATTTTTTATCTCCCTCTTCCGGCCACATCCCCCTTTGCTCCGGGGTCCTTTTCTTTTTTGTTTGTCGCCTCTTCCTTTCCACGCCCGGCGTCTCATCCATGCGCTCGCCCCCTCCCCCCCCCCCCTCCCCCTCTCCCCACGCCCACGCCCACGCCCACGCCCAGCCGTATGACTACCTGGCTGTCATGGTTTGGAGCGTCGCGCCCCAGGCAGCTCGCGAGGGCTCGCCGCACGACCCCCTGCAGGCGGGGCACTTTTTGGGTGGGCCCTTCCGCGGCGGGGTTTACGGCAGCGGGCAGCAGTTGCCCACTCCAACGGCCCCCGGACTGATGGCCGGCGGATATGGCCGGGTCACCATCATCCCCCGGCGCCGTGCCCTGACCATTCTCAATGACCTGCTGCTGGACACGGCCCTCCTGGTGCAGGGCGTGTGCATCCCGCCGGCCGACGAGGAGCCGGCCGTCACCGACGCAGCGCAGTCAATCGAGCCGGTGCCGCCGTCGGGCTCGGGCATGCGCACGCGCGCCCCTCCGGCGGCCGTGCTGTCTCATGGTGGCGCCCTGCTGCATGTGCCCTTCCCCTTTGATGTTCCCCGCTTGGCCAAGGAGTACCCGGTGCTGGCCGGGACTCTGGTGGTGCGGGGTGGGCCGCCGACTGGCCGGGGGCCCACCGGGGCCGCTGCCGCCGCCGCTGCCGCCGCCGCTCGCGCGGTCCCCCTGCTGCGCCTCCTCTCTCGGAGCCTCTATCTCGAGCGGACGGCCGGGTATGTGACCTTCTGCCGGGACCGGCTGGCCCGGCACTCGGACTACCTGCGGGTTCAGCGCTCGATGCCCGGGCCCCGGGCCACTTTTGTCTGGCTGCCGCTCATGCTGCAGCATGGCATCCCGCTGGCCGATCGGGACCTGGCCGCGGCCTGTTTGGCCCGAATGGCCGGGTCCGGCGTCCTGGGCCTGGCTGCGGCTGGTGTTTTGGACCAGTGTCGGGAGGCCGGCAGCACCGGCGCCACGCCGGCCCCCACCACGGGCGATCTGTCGGCCGTGACCGCCCTGTCACCCGGGGTGGGAGCTGGTGACCAGCCAGCCCCGGCCGCCGGCGCCGCGGCTGCCAATGTCGGTGTCGGGGTGCTGGACTCCATGCGTCTGACCCAGGCCCTGGTGGCCTTCATCCACCAGGAGTGCCATCCCGGCACCGGGGCAACGGCCCCCGGGCCGCTGGCCGATCCCTTCTCGTCGCCCCTGTCAGCGGCCGCTGGGGCCGGGCTCCTGGCCGGCGGTGCCCCGATCACCACCTCCTTCACCCGAGACTCCAGCCTCTCGCCAAGCGCACAGTTGGCCTTCGAGTCGGGCTCTCTGCGCCGGGTGGGCTCGCCATGACGGCCAAAGGCGCGCGCGCGCGCACCGGCCATGGCAACCAGCGACCAATAGAAACACATCCAAAAGGAAAAAAAGCCCGCCCGCGTGTCCTCACCGGGGGAGCACGCCCCCCGCCGGCAAACGACCCGGCGGCATGGGGGGGGGGGGGGCACAATCGTGGTGGGGAGGGCCCTCCACCGGACCCAGGCCTCCGAGATGAAGTTCTCTATGTATATTGGAAGTCGGAGGGGGGAGGGATCGCCTTGGCAGGGAGATCAAAAGCAAAGGAGGGAGTGTGGCAAAGTACACCCGAGGGAAGGGGGGGGGGGGGGGGGAAGGGGAGGAGGGGCACAAGTGCTCACGGAGGGACGGAGAAGGAGGAAGGATGGGGGGAGGGGGGGCGGGGGGGAGGAGAAAGCCCCAGGCTCAGGTGGAGTTGGAAGCCTGGGCGGCCTTGGCCTTCGCCTTGGCCTTGGCCTTGGCCTTGGAGGCGGCCTCGGCCTCGGTCTCGGAGGCGTGGAAGGTCTTGTGGTAGCTATGGCGGAAGGCGGCATGGGCATCGAAGCCCTGGTTAATGAGCTTCGAGTACTCGGAGGAGATGCCCCGCGGGAGGAGGCCCATCAGCCCCGGGTGGATGACAATGTCACTGAGGGACACATCGGCATACATGCGCCGGCTGGCAGCACGACGGCGCTCCTGCAGGTGGAAGGTCTCCAGGGCATTGTGAGCCAGGGTCTCGTAGAGGTCAAGCGGGGCCACGCGGCGGATCTCATTCACCTTCTCCAGGCAGTCATCAACCGACCGGCTGTTGGTGATGGAGATGTTGCCGGTGCTCCGGGGGAGCGAGTGCAGCACCAGCTCCGGGAAGCGCGAGCGCTGGGTCTTCTGGGTGTTGGGGTCGCGCGGGAAGTACCGCGTGAAGAGGGCATCACCATGGCGGTCGAGCGAGGGGGGACGCGACCCGACCTTGTCCTTGGTGGGCTTCCGGCGCTTCTCCAACTCGTAGTCCTCGGCAAAGCGACGGAAGAAGTCCTGCAGCTCCGGATGCACGTAAGCCCCGCGCGCGCTGTTCATACCGGAAGTCACGGCCGCACGGTTGGTGTACCAGTACGGCATGTCGCGAATCATCTGCTTGGAGAAGGTCCGCTTGCGGGGCGGCTCCGGGATCGGCACCATCACCGGCGGGTGCTGGGTCATGGCCAACTGGGCGATGGTCGGCCGATTGATCAGGCCGGCTTGCAGGCGCTGGTTCAAGCGGTAAAGGAGCTGCTGGGACTTCATGGCGATGCGCGCGCCCAGGCAGAGGGGAGAAGAGGGGGACTGGGAGGAATAGGGGGCAGAAAGGGGCAGGAGGCGCGTGGAAGGGAGGGAGGAGAGGGGGGAGGAGGGGGGGGAGGGGGAGGAGGGGGGGGGGCGAGCGAGCTGGGTATTCCCGGAGAGGCGTTGCAGCCGGTCCCAGGGAAAGGGCCTGCCGGGGCGGTGGCCGAAAAAAAAAAAGGAACAACAATCTGACCCGACCGCGGGCACGGCGGCTCCCAGGCGGTACCGCGCGCCCTCGACCGGGAAGGAAAGGCATCAGGGCATCCATGCCAGGCGGGGACGGTCATCAGTCCGCGCGCTATTTCCCCAGCATGGGGCTCCCCCCTCCCGCCCGCGCCCTTCCCACTGTCCCGGCCCGGCGCTGCCTGCTCGCTGCGCACCAGCCGGGGGCGAGTCGCGCGCTCGCGCATGTTTATGTCCTTCGTTTAGGATCCGCGCACGTGTTCTCTCTTTTTGTGCCAACGCACCGTGCTATCGGCTGGGCTTTCAGGGCGTCTGGTGCCAATTCCGCCCCAGCCCGCGCCTGCCTCCCCGTCCCTCCCCCCCCCTGCATGCACAGTCCACACATATCGCGGTCCCCCTCTCCGCCCCGGTGCGCCTTGCCTTCGCTCCTGCCCCCAGCCTCTCCCCTCTCCTCTGCCGTGGGTCTTGATGATCTGATCAGATACATCGTACTCGCGCCCGCCGCCTGGTGCTCATGCACGCGCACGGGCGCACGCGTGCGTACGCGCATCCCTGCCACATACATGCACATGTGCACATGCACATGCACGCACGCACGCATGCATACATACGGCAATGCTCCCAGGGGCACACCAAAGCGTCAGGGAGGACGGCGGCCGCCTCAAGCCGGCTCCCTCAGCGGGCGTCAGCCGGGCCCGTCAGGCCTTGCATCCGCCCGGTTGGCCCACCGGTCGACGTTCCTGCCCGCGCAACCGCGTCGGGAGGGGTTGACCGGGCCCCGGGCTACCCGCGCTGCCGGTGTCAGCATGGCCTCCCTCCTCTCCACTTTGGTGTGGTCTCCTGCATGTGCGCATGTATACGCGTGTGCGCATGTGCGCATGTGCACATGTGCTTGGTGGTGGGTCGATGTGTGTGTGTGTGTGTGTGTGTGCGAACGTGTGCGCGCACACGCGCGCGTGCATGGCCATCATTTCCGCCGTGCCCGCTGATGATGCCTCACTCGGACTGAACCCTCCCCCGGCTGACAGCATGCCACTCCACCCCCTGATCAAGACTAACCATCCTCTCGCCTGCTCGAACAACACTCTCCCCCTCCCCCAGTCAGGGAGGCCCACACACACCTGTCCACCCGCACGCTTGGAATAGATGCCCCCCAGAGGATGCAACACTGTCTATGTTTATTGGAAAAATAGGCGTTATCACCTTGTGCATGTATGCGTGTGAGCGCGCACGCTCCCGAAGAGGAGGGGGGGCGGGTGGAAGAGGCGCGGAGGCCTCGGACGCGCCCCCTTTTGAGTGGCGGCGAGAGGCTCGCCCAGGGGAGGGGGTACACACCGTACTTTGGGTGGGGGGGGGGGGGGGCAGGAGGCAAGGAGCGCAACCGGGTGCCTTTCGGCCTGTCTCTCACACGGTCGTGTCGACGTTGCTATCCACCTTGGCCCCACCGCCGCAGTTGGAGCTCGGCTCATCCCCCTCAGCCGGGCAGTACACATTGAAGCCGAGGCGGCGGGCGAAGCGAGCAAAAAGCCCAGCCCCGAGGCTGGTCTCATTGGCGGCGGTCAGCAGCACGAACCCAGCACAATGAGACACATGCCGGCCCAGGCCATGGCATGGATGGAGGGGGCCGGGCCACCCCCGATCTGGGCCGCCACGAACTCCACCAGGATGGCCGTTGGCACGGCGAGGATGGTGCCGACAGACACAAGCAGCGGCGATCCGGCCATGAAGAGGCAAATCAGCAGCAGGGCATGGTAGATGACCACCACGAACCACAAGATGAGCAGGTCCATGCGGAGTTCCGGCGTCGGAGGCAGGGCAATGTTCTCGAACCCGGTGGCCTGGAGGATGGGCATACCAATCCAGAAGATGAGGACTGTGGTAGGGGGCATGATGGCCGAGCAAAACGAGCGGAAGAGGCGAGGAGGGAACGGGAGCGGGAGCGGGGGCGGGGGGGGGGGGGGAATGACGTGTGTGTGTGTGTGTGTGCATGTACGCGCGCGCGTGTGTATGTGTGTGTCAGAGAATATGGCCCGCGAGCGGTTGTAGAATAGTCGTTGTGGGAGGAAGGGAGGCAGCGACAGGCCGGGGCCGCCGGCGGCCAGGCACGCACATGTCCAAACGCCAGTCAGGCCCAGGGTATAGATAGAAGCCAGAAGACCCTCGAGAGCGGGAGCATCAGGCGGCACGAGGCGATACCATGCGAACAGAACCTCATAGAGACCATAGAGAATGGTCGAGCCAATGAGCAGCATGTACCCGAGGGCAGTCCCATCGGTGGAGGAGTCATCCTCGGTCGGGGCGAATGCCGTCAGGAAGACCCCGGTAATGCACACGGCCACGGCCAGGAACTTGCGCCAGTCCGCGCGCTCCTTGAGGAGGATCATTGAAAGGACTACGCAGACACCCGATGACATACGGAGGAGGAGGAGGAGGAGGAGGAGGAGGAGCGAGCAGACAGGCAGGTGAGAGGGAGGAGAGGAAAACCGTTAGACCGAGGGGGAGAGAGAGCGAGAGGGACAGAAGGAAGGCGAGAGCCGGGCAAGGAGAGAGAGAGAGAGAGAGAGAGCACAGTGACAACGCACAGTACACCACGACACACACGCATTGGTAGATGGCCGTGTTCAGGGAGAGCATCGTGTGGTTGAGCGAGAGGTACCACAGATACAGCATGAGGAAGGAGATACACGCAAGGACGAAGGTCGGCATGAGGTAGCGCCGGGGGTTGATGTCGAAGGCTGGGAAGGGAGGCCGGAAGGCTGTCAGTAACGGGAAAGGCCCGACCAAAGAAGGCAACACACACGGTTGATCCTCCCAGGGGCCGGGGCTCTGGCCTGTGGCCAGCATCAATGGGCATTGGGGGGAGAGAGCCGGCCTCCAACCGCAAGCTAGACGCACTCTTGTAGAAGGGCAATACAATTAGAATGCCCAGGGCAAACATGCTATGCCCAAAGTAACTCATGATGTATGGCTGATTGGGCGCGTGCGGCGGCGAGGGGAGGGCGCCGAAGGGGAGAGAAAGAGAGAGAGGGGGGAAAGGGAGGGGGGGGGGGGGGGGGGGGGAGAGTGTGAGTCCGAAAGATGGCCCGGAAGTTTGTGTGCGCAAGATCAAGTGAGCGAGGCAGGAAAAGGCACCACATCTGCGCAACGATAGAGAAGAGCGGGGAGGCGAACACAAGACACAAATGACGGGGGGGAGGGGGGGAGGAGGGGGGCATACATTCTCATAGCCACTGTCCTGGAGGCTCTGACCGAGCCAGCCTTGGGCCACCCAGGAGATGGCCAGGCCAAACATACACACGAGGGCCATGGCAAGGCGGAAACGCCGGCTGTCTGTCCCGGTCTTGGGCGGGGCCTCGGTCGAGGATGATTGGCCACCAAGCTGGTCGCTGGGGGAGCCGCCCTCTCCAGAAGCAGAGGGCTTTGTCCCGCCGTCGTTGCCGAGGAGGGCCTTGTGGTCGTTGTCATCCTCGGGATAGTAGCCGGACGAGCCGGGCCCCGAGGCGTCGTAACTGAAGAAACTCCCATCATCACGCCCGTCGCTGTGGGAGGACTCCGTCACAAGGGATGTCTCGGAGCCGGTGCGATGAGCCCGGTGGTCGGCAAGGTAGGACGAGATGAGACTGTCCGCCTCGGCGGACAGGGGGCTGCCACCGACCGCTCCGTAGGAGGTGGTCGGTGATGCGGAAGCATGAGAGCTCATTTTTCAAGGTGCTCTGAAACGCGCGGCACATGGTAGGGCACACAGCCGGGGCCGGCACAGGGTGGAACCGGGCAGGGAGAGGAGAAGTCGAGTCAGATCGGATGTCGGGGTGCAAATTGAGTGGGTGGTTGTGGGCTAGGAGGTGGCCGGGCTCACTTCGTCCCATGTGCCCCCCCCCCCCCCGTTTGCAAGCTCGGGAGGGGGAGGGCGGGCGAGGGGAAGTGGGACAAAGGGCGATCGATGTCCCCGCATTTGGAGTGGGCAAAGAGCCAGGAAGAGGCATTCCCATGAAGAGCAGGCGACAGGACCCCCACGGAGGCAAGTGCGGGGCCGGTTGCCTGCTGGCTTTAGTGTGCCGAGGGGGAGGGGGGGGGGGGGAGGGGGGGAGGAGAGCCGATCGCCACCCGCGCGGCCATCCTGTGGGCACCCCCCGCGCGAGATAAGGATGAGCGAGATAAGGGCCAAAATCCGGTCCATCCAAAAATGCTCTCACGTAGGTATGTGCATGCGTGGGGGGATTTGTGATGGCCACTCCGGGGCGTGTGTGGTATCATCCGCTGGGATTTGGCCGACCACCGCCGTTTCCCCGGCAGCGCACGAAGAGTGGCGCGGGCCCTGCCCCCCTCTGGCGAATGTGCGCGTGGGAAAGGGAGGAAGGGAGAGAAGGATGGAGGAGTACCTTTTACAATGACAAAAGGGAGGACGATGTACCGGCTAGCAGAACACCAAAGCGGGGGGGGGGGGGAGATGCAGACGCTTGTCACACACCGTGGGAGGCCCTTCGGGTGAAGGCCAGGGAGTCGGGAGGAGGCGACAGAGGGGGAGGGAAGGAGGCGGGCGGGCGGGCGGGCAATGATGCACGAAGGAAACTACGAAGATGCTGATGCTTGAAAGGCTGAAGGCGCTATTTGTCGGGAGAATCTCTTGCTCTCGGGCGGGTGTCCCCCGGCACGGAGGCATGCCCGGACTTCAGAGGGCAAGTCACACCATTCGGCAGAGCGAGAGGCAAGCACCGCGGCTGGTGTTGGCGGTGCGAAGCCGGAGGGGGTAGAGGCGCAGAACCAGGGAGAATCGTGCCCGAGGTCCACCGGGCGAATGGACCCACATACACACGTACACGCACGCAAGCACGCACGCACGCACGCACGCACGCACGCAC